AGGGAAATATTTATTCGTGTCATAAGACTTGACACTTTGTTATTATATCACGTCGAGATGAAATTTCCTGTTTCGTGTGCAGTTATTTAATTGCTTTCTCAAAGAAGAAACACCAGTGTGGAAGGTAAAAATTATTTTCGAAAGAGAGTTTCGAGGGAGCTTGTGCTACAGTGTTCGGAATGCAAATTGGGAGAGTTTGTTTCGCTGCGAGATGATAATTGTGGAAGCGTGTATAAAGGTGAAAATTTCCGTCGAGTTTCGTTTTCTGTTTGACGCAGCCACGTCGATGATGAAAGCTTCGAGAGGACCTGGTGCTCGTTATTCTCAAACTCGCAATCATTATCGTTCTAGTTCATTTAAACGAGGATGGACGCAAAATTTGTATCGTTGATTTGTCCATAAAATTTCTATTTGTTTTAGTAATATTATATTACTGGAAACAATTGCCATTTTATATTGGGTTCCATTTGTCCTAACAATTTAATGCATTCCGTGTTGTTCTTATTTTAAGAGTTTGATTAAATTTGTAAAATTAACAAAAGCTCCATATTAAATATTGTGCCTTATTTACTCTAATATTTCGATAAAATATTATACTCCATTTAACTTAACAATTTAATAAAACATGTTATTACATTCGGAATAGTGCAAGTCAAGAAATCTCATTTAAAACCATTGTCATATCAACACTTTTCGATATTTTCTTTATATTTGAGGTTTATGATAGAGCTCCTACAATTTAATAATTCTATTTTCAGTTTGCATTTCTGTCTAATAATACGATTACATATTTTACCCAGGAGAAATTGGTATATACAGTAATTACAAAGTTCCTACAGTTTATTCCATATTTATAAATACTTTCGTATATTTATACCTATATGTATTATTTATTCTACCATTTATTATTATTTATATTTATCATATGTTATACATTCTCATTCTACATACATTGAAATTCTATGTTTACACATTCGTTCGGTTTCTTTGAAATAAAATTGTCGAAAATTTCGAAACATTTTGCCTTTCAAGCTAGAGTGCCTTCTTGATATTCGAGCTGGCTCATCCTCTGGAGAGGTCGAGAAACGAGAGTTTTCGTGTTGCACGGCACCCTGGGGCCGGCCACGGTTAACTTTCGCTGTCAAACGTCACGTAATCCAGGGCCGAAGCCGTTGGGATCCTCTCTGCCGCGTAAAACATGGGAATGACCCCGCATAATGGGACGTGGGTGTTGCAACGCGTTCCGTTGCACGCTGCTCGGCCAGTAGCCGTTGAAGAATTATCGCGAGCGTCGCTAAACAGTGCACCTTGTCCGTCCAGGTGATACCAATCGCTTCCAACGAGTCCGAACTGATTTTCTGCATTGAAGAAATTGGAGGGAATTTCGTAGGATTTATATAAAAACAAACGCTGGTGAACGAATGAATAACGATAGAAAATCAGTCAAAAGACACAAGTAATTTTTATTATATGGACTTCTAGTTTTTTGAGTCACCTTCAGAATTGTACAATTGTTTCTGGAAGTAATAATTAAAAAGATTAAACGAAATAATTTCAAGCCTTTGCATGAGTGTAAGGAAAAGTGAATCATGAATTCTTAGTACAAGAATCTTCTTCTTTTTTTCATATTTTTAATTGCAAAGAGAAACTTTAGGCCAGATGATTTCTTCGTTACATTATAGTTGATCAAATTGATAAACCGAAGTGTGCCGAAAACACAAGCGATCGACGAGCATTTAATAAAATGCTTGTAAACACATCGTGTAATAATCGTTTCGCGCCAAGTAATGAATTTAATAAGACTCATTTGTATCTGTCCCGTATAATCACGCCGTTATCTCGCAACTATCTGAATCTACTCGCCAGTAGCCGGATGCCGACATGTTCAATTTTTCCCCATTTTATTAATTTAACGTCATTATTAAGCAAAAAGATGGATTTCAAGATTAAAAAAGTGAATAAAACGTGACGTACATAGTATATAAATGTGTAAGAGGAGACGTGGAGCTAACAGTCTGTTATTAAAGTCTGACCTCAACGTTTGAATGTGTAACCTTTAATCGCGTAAAGATCGTAAGGTTCTAACGAATAGTTCCCAATTACTTTTAAAAGCCCTGAGGATAAATCCAAGATAAACCCAAGATGTAAGGAAGATAAGGCAATAAATGTTACATAAACGTCGTTTTGTTCGTACTGTATTTTTTTTTTTCAGAGTAGAAGCGAATTAAAGAAAGCAGTCGAAGCGATGCAGCCTAGCCGCGCGTCGTTTCATAAGTATACCTAGCAATTTCGCCATTTTACCGCGGCGGATGGAAGTAATGGACAGGTAATCAATTGCGGAATGGTCGATAGCTTGCTTCATTGATAGAGAAGTAAAGTCGCAATGTTAGTAAATATCCGATCGATTTATATTATGGTACCAAGAAACATACGCAATCAATTCGTTTTCGGTGAAAGCATCGCAAGTATTTTGGTAACGGGCAATTAACCCGTCGTAATTATCAGTGAGCGATAATTTCGTTGACCCTGCGCTTCTTAATCGCTGCTCTTTTATCGTCGATGTTATCAACGATGTTACTTTTGGCATTCGCAAGTGAAAGTGACAATAAATCTGGGTGCAATTGCTGGATAGCGAGATCATTTCGTCGACCATCATTTCTTTTCCTTTATTTTAGTGTTCAGCGTCGTTAAACGTCACGACATCGAGCGTTAAAATAATAGGTGCTTTGAAATAAAAAAACAGTCGTTAAACGTGAAAAAGGCGTTCTTTGGTTGACTTCTTCCTCGTAATTCTGTGAAAGAAATTGAAAATTAATAGTTCACAACAACTCGAAACAACTACCTTAAATAATGAGAATACATTTAGCTCTCTGAAATAAACAAATAAAAATTTTTTATACACCCTTAATCAACTCGCTGTCAGTTGAGTAAAAAATGGCAGACGAAATTATCTCCGTTAATTCTTTGTAATTCAAATCTCCTAGTTGAATTTTTTATCGCACGACCAACCGTTCCAGACGTCCTTAAAAAACTTCATTGCTAGTTACGACGAAAAGTTTCAAGGTAAATTAGCCGTAGTTAATCCTACGAAACTGGCGTTTAAGTTTAAGAAACGTCGGATGCGGCGGAATCGTCCCGGAACTTCCGTTCACGACTTTCACGGCGAGAAGCTATTCCCGATCGAGCGGATTGCGCAATTAATCTTCCCGACGGTTATCCAATTTATGGGAATTAGAAAATTATATATTTCGTCGATGGCTGGCCGGCGAGATTCTCCTGAGGATAATGGGCGGAGGTGTCGCAACGCGCGTGGGTATATCGTTACACCTTCGACGCGCATTCAACGCCATCCGAGAGGAAAAAAAATCCTCGCAGCGGGAAGGACGACGATTACCAAGAGTTGAAAGTTGAAAGTGACAGTGGAAGACGTCGAGACCCGAGCCATCTCGCTTTAATATCTGCCTCGAACGTCAATGGCGAAATTATTTCTCTTTGTTCTCTGACTTCCTCTGGCATCAAAATGGCCACCGTGGTGCGCAGAACATTATTTATTTAAAATTTATATAAAATCTTTTCTTTCGATCTTTATATAAAAATTTGTTTCTGTAATTTCAATTACGGATAGAAACGAGTACAAAATTTCAAGTAATTTCATTAAGCTGTTTGTTCATAATAAATTCGTGAGGAAAGCCTTATTTTCAGCGTTTTACTTGAGTCTCCTGCTTTAAGGAAGACACAATTTAACATCATTATAATCCTGTTGATCATAGATAGACTCCAGGTTTTATACATTTATGTCGTACACCAATATGAAACATATACAAAATATACACATAATGCATGTAGAATATATTCTATTAATTAATAGAATAATAATAATACTTCGTTTTGTATAAATAACCTTTTGGTTGTGTTAATAAATGCATAAAATTCGCAGTTTAATCATGAATGTTAAAATTTCCATTTAAACATTTCACCCAAATATTTTCTGTACAAAATAGTTCATTGGTGAAATTTCTAAGAACGCCTATACACGATCTGTGTATCCAGCTACTCGCTTATCAGGTCGCATAGCTCGAGCGCTCTTGTCACGCCCGTGGAAATATAATTACCGCACTTCCTACGACAATTTCCATTCCTTTCACCTTCTCCGTTACGCTAAGATTGCAAAATCGACGAAAAAGAAGCCACGCCGTATCGAACGTCTGCACAGAGGCCGCCTTGTCCCTCTTTTCGCGTCTCCATGATCCTGACAGTGAAGGTATTTCGAGGACGAGACCTTATTCGATCAATCACGCTATCCTCCAGACTGCCCTTGCCTAAGGTCAGTTTCGATTGGAGCTTAGACCGGAAGTGACTCCAAGAATCCACGTGCAATTTCTTTGAGGCGATGAAAGTGGAGGTCACATGAAGGTAGACACCAGTCAAGTTGGACAGAATTTTATTCGAGTAATAAATGAAGAATGAATGTTCATTTTGTGATGAATGCTCCGCGACCTTATGACTATTTATGACTCGTAAGTAGCTGTGATCATTTATGATCCTTTTCGATCTGTTGTATCATTTGTGATAGCTTTGTGATTCTTGTTATCATTTGTAACCCGTTGTGAATTTTGTGATCGCCCGCGTGTAACGCCTTGTGGGCGTGTTTGAGCCTTGTAATTCGTTGTGATCTTTATGACACTTTGTGATCTTTGTGATACTCTTTTATATTCCAATGCTAGAATCATCAAACAGAAAAATGCATTGAATGTGAAGTTGTGTGGTGCGAACCAATAGAACGTGTGTGTATACTTATATTAAACCTGGATAGATACGTAAAGACTTGTGAAATGATCCATGAATTTATTTGATGATCCTCCTTGCTTATTGAATATAAATATAAAATAAAAGAAATCAAAACCAAAGGAAATTGAACTGAAGGAACACGTCTTTTGTTTATATGCCATTAAATTTCTTTTTATTTATGCGACGAGAATTTCGTTTATCTTTGGTTTCAGGCGACGACAGAAGCCGAGGAATGTGCGTGGGCGTACAGAGAAGGTGTGGTGCATGCCTCGAGGACAATGCAAAGTGAATTCGAGCGGTCGTGTCTGCGAACGACGCTCGAAAATGGGTCGACCAGGCGTTTTGTTCGAGATCGACGCGGATCTGCTCCGGTTTTACGGGGCGATGATTCCTCGGGGTCGTCGACTTTCGTTTCGATGATCGACGAAGGACGAATCGACCTTTTATTTCGTTCACGAAACTCGCTCACCTCAACGGTATAACGAAACCTTGACGTGGGTAACTTTTACCGATTTCACGGCGAAAAATGGGCCGCAGACGTGGAGTCGATCGTTCTCGATTAAATTATCGATTCGTTCGCTGATTTTAATGTTCACAGACGGAGTGAATAACAGAGCTGTAGATTCTTATAAGTGGATACTCCTGTTTCGCGAGTTCTTTGAAGAATTTATTTATAAAAACTTTGAAGCATTCAGTGTTAAACTTTTGTACGTTTATTTGTTTTATGATTTTATTTATAATATCAATTAGTTGGTGAAAAAGCCCTTCGAGCAGAGTTTACCAGATTATTGGTCTTCTTCAAATTAATAGTGTATAATAACCTAACAGATTAAGTGTATGGTATGTACATACACAATTGTTATGGAGCAAGTAAAAACTTTAATGCATCTACGAAGGTGACCAATAATCTCGTTGAGAACGATTATAGTTGATTATTAACTTTGACTGTCGATGAATAAATTCTATTCACTTAGAAGACTTTCACTTTTTATTCAGTATCCTTGCACAGCTATTTATATATCCTTTTACTGATACATACGAACCTCCATTTTCCTACCGTTTCCTGAATTATTATTAATAATATTGCAAGTTGAATGCCAACGAAAATTCATCTGTTCAGCAAATGTCACTATCAATAAATGTTTATTAGTTGGTTATCGTCCTTTCTAAAATAAAATGAAGCATACTCCCGCTTCATTGAAAACATAGACGCTAGACTTTCTAAAGTAAAATAACTGAAACGGATCAGAATGGAAAAGCCCCAGTAATTTGAAAATTGTTTCGAAAATTAATACGAAGAAGAGTGAAAAACGTGGAATCGATATAGGTTACGCCATTGCAACACTTCTGCCCCAAACGCAGCTGACAATCGATTGCACATTCGAGAAACATTCGTTTCCTTAATGAAGGAAGTAAATCTGAATAGCAAAGTGAACGGATTTTAAACAGGAGCAAAAGTGTACTCAGTTTCTAACGGAAGCGGAGTTGCACAACTTCCTAAATGAACGGCGAGCCCTGATTCATATTAATTTATTGGAATTTAGCTGGTGTTCAGTTCCGCTGTAATTTGATATTGCGTGACCCAGTTGGGATTGCGTATCGAGAACAATTTTTATAGCTCTCGATGCTGCGTACGCGTATGGACGATCTATCGATAAATATCATGCTTGTATGCTCAACTGATGGAATTGTGGTTAAGACTGAGACATTAAAATTAAGATGTATAATAGTAAATAAGAAGACTATACAAAATTCTGAACAAGACAAAATGGAACGTGTTGTAAGTACTCAATAAACAACAACAAGACTCAACAGATAATAAACTCCGGAAGATAAACATTTGAATTGAAAAGTCTACAAATAAGTTTCCAATAAATAAAGCGTTACATACGTTTAGGCTGGCAAAAAAATAAATACACAAAACTCTTCAGTGTCAATAAGCAGCGTTGTTTTGGAATTCACGTCGATTTTATTATTTATTGGGTGATCGATGATCCGTTTCCAACGCAGGGAAAACGTCGATCCTCATAATCGCTTTCCATTAACTGAGTTTTCCCTCGTCGGTAGCCTGGTACCAATCGCCATCCCGTTTCGAGTGATTTATCCCTCGTTAGAGCACGGAACGAAGGAATCGGAGTGAGAAGAGAATTCTCGGCCAGCCAGCCGTGACGATCCCGTAACGATCGTAACGCAAGTAGCTGGATACGCGGTCTCACTATTATGCGTTACGTCGTCGCAGTTACATTAAAGCGGCTTGCACCGGAACGCATAGAAGAAACGACGTTGAGAGACCTATAAATTACCCCTGTCGCCATCTTTCTTTCTTTTCCATTGGTTCACGACACGATTGGTCGCGTGCAATCAGTCCCTAAAAGTTTCTTTCGTTTTATTAGTAAGTTATACAATTGTATTTATTTAATATTTAGAGCTTTTCTGTATAATATGCTGTTGACATACTTCCCAAGCAAAATTTTCTTCTATAAATAAAGAGAATGGTGAAACATATTCGATATAATTCTATACAGAATTTCTATTATTTCTACGTTCCATAATATGTTTTACGTTACATCACTGAGTTGTATACTATTCATTTTGCTTTTTACTATCCTCTGTCTCTCTGGAAGCCGAATATTTCATCTTTTCGAAACGGTTATGGTTTGCTAGCAAAACAGTTTTTAAGTGCATTTCGATGTTATTCATTGAACGAAATCTTTTTGTTGGAAGGAATAAAAAGCAATCACATGGGATAATATCTAGAGAGTGCGAAAAATTAGATGGAATATCCCAGTGAAACTTTAACAATTTATTTCCAACAAACATCTTCATCGTCTAGATTATAGATAGATAATTATATATCAATGGACATTAAATTGTGACAAAACGTGGTCACTAATAACCATGAAAAGTGCATGTGAATTAAAAAACATAAAAGATACATATTGTGACTATGGCTATATCATGAAATGATAACGTAAGTGAATTGTCTTTCATTGTACTTAATTACCGTGGACGCAGCAATTGGTTACTCCTGACCTTTGTTAAAAATGAATACCGTTGACACGGATCGAGCATTCGAACAGTTGAATCCTACGTTTCAAGGGAAGCGTTCGTAGGTCGCCGGTTCAAATCCGGCTCGATGGAATTTTTCCTCATCGAACGTGACAGGAGCCTCCTTTCTCTTTGACGCATCAGTAGCAAACAGTTTGAATTACGAGCGCCTGGGATGAAACGACAATCGCGTATCCTCGATGGCTCGGTTGGCAAAGACACCGTGGTAGCTGATTATATTCGAGACGAGATATCCCATAGGTCGCTGGTTCAAGCCCAGCTCGAAGGAGGATATTTTTGTAAAACCGCTGGCTGATTCTCTGCCAATTTTTTCTTTAATCGAATACTTCGACGTTTGTTCGATTACAATGCCTATTGAGAACGTACTCGTACATCCCTTCGATAGCTCAGTTGGTAGAGCGGTGGACTGTAGTTGTTTGTTGTTGGTTTTAAAGAGAAGACATCCATAGGTCGCTGGTTCAAATCCGGCTCGAAGGAATATTTTTATATAAAGTGCGAATAATATTCACTTTGGTAGGAAATATTTTATATTTATTGATATTTTGTAAGGGAGGAAGACATGTGATAAAGGTGTTCTAAACGGGTATCTGTAGATGTGACAAATTATGTTAAAACACAAATTATAATATAAACATTGTCTTGTTATACGATAATACAGGAATCACAGTGTACAACTTAATGACAATTATAATTTGGAATCATAACAATAAAAATGTATGCTACAATTGTAATACAAGTTACATGCTGTTGTTAAGTAAAAAAATATACTATAGTAATTAAATTATTTTATTATTCGATAAAGTAATAACGTAATAAGTTCTGTGAGACAATCACGTGGTCGACCAACCTAATAAAACTCGTTCAGATATGCATGCTGTCTATGTTTAAATATTATTAAATAATATTTAAATATTTTAAATTATATTAAACAGTTTTTACAAAAGTATCGAATGATTCACATGCATTCTTAACAGGCAACTGCGGATCTTGCTACTGTACCACTTTAATTAATCATAACTTACATCCCTTCGATAGCTCAGTTGGTAGAGCGGTGGACTGTAGTTGTTTGTTGTTGGTTGTAAAAAGAAGACATCCATAGGTCGCTGGTTCAAATCCGGCTCGAAGGAATTCTTTTTATTAAATTTTGGAGTCGCAATTTTTTTTGCAGACATAATTAATTATATAAAAAACAAATATTATTATTTATGTTTCTAATGCATGTTTTATTAACTGAAATCATCAAATGTGATGTATCGTAAAGTGTTTAACTTATGATATAAATTTAAGTAACTGCATTCACAATCCTTCGATAGCTCAGTTGGTAGAGCGGTGGACTGTAGCGGTTTTATTCACAAGAGATATCCATAGGTCGCTGGTTCGAATCCGGCTCGAAGGAATTCTTTTTTTTTCCCAAAGTAAATATACTTCGTATTTGTTTATCATTGTTTGAACTCTTTAACATAAATTGTTACGTTATTTTATTCATTATCTATTTTTTAAACAAAATTTTAATTTATTTTACGTGTGATGGTCATTGAGTTATGCGATAGTATTTGTACCAACAAATGTAACGAATTTATGCTTTGTATACGTTACATAAAAATAGTAGCAGAGATTCGTGTAGCAAAAGTCAGTTTATAGTTTATTATTTGTTTTATAATTTAGATAATTTTTTAAATGATGGTTAAAACGTTTGCAGATGAATTACTTATATCAAATACCTAAATATTTATTGTTCCCAACTTATTACTAGTACATCTTAAATTATGATGATAATTTGTTTAAAAATAAATTGCAAGCAATATCGTTTTAATAATTCCCGATTCCATATGACACTAGATTCTCTAATTCCTTTTTCAATTTAACATTCTAAAATGTACGAAACTAGCCCCAACTTCTCCGTGTTATCAGATTTGTCACTTTCTTTTAACTCAGCGTTATAAGAACGAGACTTTGGAAGTTAGTTTTGCTCCATAAACTCACTTCGCACGTTGCTTCGATTTCAGACTCGTCATTTCCAATCATCTTGCGTCTAAACGACAATACCAATCAACGATGAGTGAAACCGACGTCTGTCGAGAAAATCCAATCGACTGGACGATTATCTCTCTCTTAGTGGAGGGGGAATTTCAATTAGCACCGTGCAGATTAGTTACACGGCTCGAAAGGAGGGGGTAAATAATCCAGCGGTGGTATTCGGCTTCCATCGTCCGCTGACCTAATAAGAGTCAATTTCACCGGCTCCCATTTCTTCCAAGGTGCGCCACATACAGTGGCAGTCAAAAGTTTCCAACTTGAAATTCCATTGTGGCTGTGGTGACGTTACCATTGACTTTCCTTCGATGAGTCGCAAGTTCGATGTTCGATATTTCGAATTAGTTGTCAACGGTCGAAGTTCGATGTTGCATCAGTCGAGACTTTTTGCGTTTCAGACTTGAACTGGATGGCGTCTTGATCGCATTGCTGCGTCCAGATAACACGTCTATTAAATTTGACTACTTGAATCTCGCGCATGATGAATGCTGATCTTTACAATTGAAAGAGTAGCATTGGGATGTTTGACAGTGATCGCTGGCGATAAAAATGATTGGTGGTTATGAAAGATACTACATGCGTCATCGTAGGATCGTGATAACAACACTGACACTGCCGTTGTGTCTATGAACAGCGATGTGATAAGCTACCGAATAAGAACGAATACACGCAGAGAAATCGAGTTAAAATTGAAACGAAGACGCTAAACGACTAATGGCAATTTATATTTACAAATTAAATTAAATTTGCATTGTAAATAAACAAAACAGTCAATAAATTCCAGGAGCCCAAAAGATGATGTGTTTCTACCGCACACGATCGTTACGGATTAATTAC